CAAGTCCACCTAAGAGATGTCACTTTTATACCATAGCCTATCTGATTACAAAATTAAGAAAAACAACGCAATATGAATTCTTAGAACAGCAAGTTGACAGGTCTTACAAAAAAAAAAAAACAACCCAAAATAAAAACTGTTTTATTATAACTTTTTTCCCTTTCTCTTTTAGGTATACCTCTATTTTTGTGTATAAGGTCAATTTTTAATGCTTGGTCTTAGCAGGCCAACGTAGAACTTTCCACCCTCTCTAAGCTCCTGAAATGACATATTAATTTTAGGAAGTAATTAGCTGGTTCTTCTCAAATGTATAGTGGAGATGAAGCCACTGTCCTACATTATTCCCAAGAGCTGTCAGTAGAACACATCTTTCATTTCACTTGTAAAAGAAAATGTGAAATGATTAAGTAAGTATCTTTGATATGCAAACTCTTACATTTTGAGGACTTTGAAAGTTCTATTTTTCTACTGTAAGATTTATTCTTTATAACTGAGAGAGAGAGAAACGTAGAAAGAGATAGAGATGTTGTCATTGTTGCTACTGTTGTTGTTATTATGGGTTGTCAGGTCAGAGCTGACTCAAAGTTGACCTTTGATCAGGTTTTCAGATGCTGTAAATTACATGAGAGGAGACAGCCCATCTTCTTCCCTTAATGCAGTCAGTGGAATCTGACTACCTGTCTTTATTGACAGTGCAACTCCTTACCACTAGGCCAGCAGAGCTTCCTAGTTTAGAAGTTGTTGTTGTTAAATGCTTTAGATTTGTAGACAACACATAGTGACCCTATGAATGAAAGTCTTGAACACAAAACTTTCATCTTTTTTCCAAGTTCACAGAGTTTCCGGAGGCAAGTTTTTTTTTGCAAGTGGATGTTACTCCTGCTTCCAAGCAGTAATTTATTTGAAGACTATTTAATGAACATTTATTGTTATTGTTATGTGCCGTCAAGTCACTTGAGACCCATAGTGACTTTATGTACAACAGCCCTAAACCCTAAGCAGCTCTATCCTAGGCCAATCTTATTTCCTCTGACACACCTATCCCCATTTCCCCAGTAACTGAATCAATCCATCTCATCAAGGGTCTTCCTCTCCTGCACTGTCCCTCCACCCTCCCAAGCATGACATCCTTCTCCAAGGACTGATCCCACCTTGCAACATAGTATGTCCAACGAAGCTTCAGAATCGTTGCCTCTAAAGGAACAGCCTGGCTTTACCCTCTCCAGGACCAACCTGTTTGTTCTCCTAGAAGTCCATGGTATATGCAAAACTCTTCTTCAGCACCAAAGCTCAAAGACATTAACTCTCCTTCTATTATCCCTAGCTCTCTGATGCATAGCAAGTAACTGCAAAGACCATGGCCTGTATCAGGCGCACCTTAATCTCGAGACTGACATCATTACTCTTCAGTACTTTGGAAAGGTCTCTGACAGCAGACTTTCCCAGTGCAATTAATTTTTTAATTTCCTGGCTGCTGGTACCAAGAGTGTTGATTGTAGAGCCAAGAAAACTGAAGTTGTCAACAATCTCAATCTCTTTATCATCCATCATGATGCTACCAATCAGCCTGGTGGTGAGAATTGTTGTTTTCTCAATGTTGAGCTTCAAACCATACTGAAGGCTGCAGTCCTTGACCTGCTGCAGCAAGCACTTCAGATCCTCCTCAGTTTCAGCAAGCGGGGTTGTGTCATCTGCATAATGCAGACTGTTGTTGAATCTACCTCTAATCCTGATGCCACACTTCTCCTCATAGAGCCCAGCCTCCTGGATAATCTGTTCCGCATATAGATTGAAAAGATATGGAGACAGGACACATCCTTGACACACACCCTTCTCAATTTTGAACCATGCAGCGTTTCCTCGCTCTATTCTGATGACTGCCTCCTAGTCCACATACAGGTTTTGCAAAAGCACAACCAAGTGTTCTGGGATTTCCATTCTTCTCAGAGTCAGCTACAGTTTGTTGTGATCCACACAATCAAATGCCTTTGCATAGTCATATGCAATTAAATCCATGAACATTTATGTATATAGATGGCTTAAATATCTTGGATCAAGTATGAGGAGTAGCATACTTTTAATAAAAATAACATATAAAAGAATTTCTCCCTTCAGTTCTGAACGGCCCTAACCCTAGATTGGTCACAAGCTGTCTTTTACTATCGATTTCCTAATCAGTAATATTAATGTGCTTAATGCATCTCACAGAAATGCCAAGGGGCTCAAAAAGATGGCATTAATGAAATACAGGAAGTACCTGGATTATGAACAACATCACTTCCTAAGTGTGTCTTTAAGTTTTATTTGTAGGTGGTGAATTGGACCAGGTGCGTGTGACTCCAATTTAGTCCTCCTCTGGTACAAGAAAATGGTCGGGGCCTTTGCAATGATTTAAAAGCTGCACACAGAGCAAGTGACCATGACTGTGACTGTGATGAAGAGTTTGTTGCAAACACTTGGGTTGGGGGTGGCATTAACGATGTTAAAGTAACAGCACATTTACATGGCATTAAAGGGCAAGCACGAATTGCCAATAAATTATATTATTAACCTGGGCACTTACTCTACCTGGAGTTCCTTGGGAAGAAGTACAAAGCATAAGCTTCAAAAACTGTATTCAGGCGGTTCAAATCCATCAGATGCTCTGCTGGAGAAGGAGGGGGCAATCTCCTCCTGTACCAGTCAGATCTGATTTGACGCTACACGTAAAAATAATACAATAAAAATTTAAAAAAAAGAAAAATTAAAAAAATAATAAAAAAAGAAAAAAAACTAAACAAAACCCTAAAAAACAAAACAAAAAACAGTATTCAGGCAATTATTTACACATGTCCATCAACTTTCACTAGCCTCAGTTTAAAGTAGCTCCCTTCTAAAAGAAGGTTTTCCTGATTAGCCATTCCAGTGACTTCTTTCTATTTTGAGCACTCGGGCACCATGCTCACATTGAATCTTCTGGTCTGCTTTATGGCATCCTCTACCTAGACGCCCACACGAGAAGCTTGACCCCATCTTGGCTCCTATCTCTCACTCACCCCTGACCTCTAGCTGGGGACAGAGTTTGATCAGTTCCACGTACGTCCTCGGCCCTATCTTCCATCTCCTGGTGCTACCATCTCTCTGGTCCTTGTCACTTTCAGGCTCGCTGTCTCCAGTGCTGCTTCACTGCTGTCTCATACTCGCCTGGACAGTTTCCAAGTTCTCCTCCTTTGAGAAATCTCTTAATGGCATAAATCTGATCCTGCCTACTCTCTGCTTTAAAAAAAAACTTCAAAATCCTTAGCTTAGGATATCATAGCTCATTATCTGGTCTTGTTATATCTCTGGCCTTAATACCATCACATTACTCCATCTTCTCTGTGTTAAGTCTCCCAGAAGGGGTGCTGCTTGAGTTGAATTGTAAGAAGATGTCTCGGTATTTTTCTGACTTCATGCTCCAAGCTTTGGCACATACTGTTCCTTTTCCCTTCAATGTCCAGTCCCTATCAAGTAATTCCTAGCAATTCTCAAAATTTGGCACAAACATATCTTCTACCAAGAAGACCAGAGGTAGTAAATCAGATGGGACAAGATTCCTCATCTTTTCCTCTCAGAAAAGTTGGTGGATTTGAAATGTGTACCTTTGGGTTGGGAGTACAACTCCTTACCACTAAGCCACCAGAGCTCCCTACCAATTACCAATCTTGTCTATTTCTCTCAATAAGCTATGAGACCCTGTACCCTTTGACTTGGCATTCTAGCAATGAGCTTAGGGCCAGTCCTACAGGTCCTCAAGAATATGCTGCTGAAGGAATGAATGAATGGATTATTCCTCTGGATAGTGACCAAGCAGCAATAGAATACCAAACACTGTGATGTCCTAAACCTTACAGATGATCTGTCACTCAAGAAGTCTACAAAACAATGATCATTAATACGCTGGTATTTGGTCTCAAACAGAATTTCTAACTTCTGATTTTTATTATATCTTTTCCAAGCTTCCACCTAACATATCCTATTTTTATTTCCATGGTTGGTAATTCTCTCTCAAGTCTTTAAGGGAACCCCCCCCCTCCCATTTGTCTTTTACCACCTAAGAACTACAAACTGGTTTAAACAAAGAGTACTTATTTGTTCACCATAGGATGAACTTGAGGGTGTTCATAAACACAGAATCTCAAGGTTAGAAGAGCACTTTCTTGTTGGAGAGGGGGGGATTTATTTTGCTGCCCCTATTTGATAGCTGCTTGTTATAAGAAAGGAAAAGTGATCCAGCTACAGAAGGAAGGAAGAGAATTTGCACCCAAGAAACCTGGACTTGAGGCAGCTTTGTAAAGGGTTTCCTTCACTCAACCAAGTCCTCGGGTCAAAACAAAGGAAATAAGGATTTCAACTTTCAGCAGAAGCATCAATGCATCTTCAGCAAGACACTTCCTGGCATGTGTCTGGAAAGAGCATCCTTTTAAGCCCCAGGTGAAACTCAATTCCTTATGACAATTTCAGACCATTTCTAAGCACTGGTTCTCGGGAATGGCCTGGGATAAGGATGGTTTTGCTTAGCTTTTAAGAGCATTCTTATCCCAGGGTGACTTACCAACAGATTCAACTCAATAACACTTAGGAATAGAGCTCATTGAAAACTCAGTGACTGCCTATGCTATAAAACTGATTCTCCATAAGAGACGGAAATAAAAAAGCTGGGATGCTAAGCAGTATAAACAGCATTCTGGTATCTAACTTTTTATTTGCATTTCATCCCATTCAACCTTGCTGTGAGTCTCCTAATGGGCTTGCATGGCCCTTTATCGGACTCTTCTGTTGACCCTCAGAGTAAGATCCCTTGACTGTACTGCAGAGGCTGCTGACAGACTTTTGGCTAAATTGTATTTTACAAAGTGTACAGATTTACTCAGAATATAGTTGCCAGCTGGCAGGGGGAAAAGTATTAAACCATGATGTTATAGGAGAGAAAAAAAAAGAATTAGATACAAATTCATCCAAAGGATTTAAGATGTGATTACCTGTGGGCCAGTTCCAGGTTTCAAGTGAAAACCAAAAACAAGTTCAAGGTTCACGACTTTTTCCTCATTTTCTTCAGGTTCACCTCCAGAGTCCTGAAGCAGAAAACCAAGCACCATTTATTCCAGATGGTATTTTTGTTCTTACTTCTTGGCCAAAAGAGATGATTCTTAGCATCAGATCATCCATCCTAATCTATTAAATTCAGATTATTTTGGATTAAGCTTCATTTTACAGTTGCATAGAGCAAAATAAATGACAGATGAAGCCTTTGGGAATATTGCCAAACAGTTTAATTCATGCTCTAGAAATGTACATTTTTTTCCCAATGCGACTTTTTCCCACTGGGTCATTTTACCCTAGAAATGTGCTTATTAGCACCTGGAGATGCGGTTGACATTTTGACCATCAATGTTTCACCACCTTTAAACTGTTTACAAGCTATTTTCAAAGAGGAATTTAGTGGTTCCTAGGTCAAATGTGGATGGAAGATATAACAGAGGAAGACAGTGAACTCCTAAGGTCTTAGAGATGCAAAACCCACCGCTGCTAGTGAAGAAGAGTTCTATTAGTTATAAGGATTTAGTGGTCCAAGCCATGGTATTTTCAACTGCTTCGTACGCATGTAAAAACTGGACAATGAATAAGGATGACCATAGAAAAATCCATGCCTTGAACTATGGTGGTGGTGAGGAGAGTTGAAGATACATATACCATAGTCTGCCAAAAGAACACATTTGTCTTGGGGAAAGTGCAACTAGAGTGCTGTTTAGGTGCAAAGAAGGTAGCACATACTTTGGTCATGTTATCAGGAGGGACAGTCCCTGGAAAAAAGAGAGGATCAGTGAAAGAGGAGAAGGCCTCCAATGAGATAGACTGATACAGTGACTGCAACAACGGGCTTGAACATGGCTGAGAGTGTGAGTATGCCACAGAACAGGGGAAAGGTCTTCATAAGCTGTTCAAAGGATCCCTGTGAGTTTTAATAGACTTGAAGTAAACTAACAATAACACCTGATTTAACATCAAAGTACTTTAGACTTTATTTAAAAAAAAATAATGTTAAACACAATAATATCTTACTGAAACAAGAACTCTGACCTCTTCATTCAAGTGAAATAGACTATGAAGCCCTGGTATGTGACTTCCTTCAGTGACTGATGTGTTGAGCAAACATGTCCCAGAGAGAGATAGGGGGGCTGGGCCCTCACCTGCAATGTTGGCCCTTCTATCTCCGAGCCCCTGGAGTGAGATGTGTCATTCTTATCATGAGAGTGTTGTTAATATTTCAACTTGTGAAGGAACAAGGGTGTCCAATTTACACACATCCTGCACTTCATTCAAAGGCCCTTTTGTTGGACAACAGTGATTACATTTCACTTCAAACAACAGTTTCCGACACTGGCTAACTGAGGTGTGGATGTGGCAGGTGCATAGGTGAATAAAAGCAGCACACTTTCAGTAAGAAAAAAAAAAGCCAACTTACCTTAATGAGTGGTGGAAAGTGAAACAAGTTTAAGTAGTCGTGGGTCAATTTCTCAATGGCTGACTGCAAATACAAATCAAACCACATGAGTTTGTTAATGATCTGATAAGACTGAGAAAGGATTACAATTACTGCACACTTACAAAAGACTTCTTTACTGATATAGTTCATAAATTGGGGATGTTAATATGCAACATCTACTGAGGATAAACTTGATTGTTCCAAGTTGTATGGATGGTTTGTGATTATTTCATGGAACAGGACTATATCTTAAAGATACTGCCAAGAAATAAAACGATTCTCCAAACACCAGCAGAGTATGGCAATAACAAGTCGATGTTCCAGTGTATGGAAAGACGTGGTATCCCTGAGAAGCTGTGGGGGAAACACCAAAGAACATGAGTGTAACTCCAGAGACTTTCATTAAGACTGAGCATCTCACTTCTGCTGCATTGTATGGTTTTTTAAAGTATCTGTGTCCGACTCTCCCTCTCCCTGTGAGGCACAAAGAAATCTTAAAAGGAAGATAATTTAAATTATGATTTTTTTTTTACTCATCAGGGATAATTCAGGTTTATTGTGATATCACGTAGGGATTAAAAAATATCAATATGAGGAAATTAGATGCATTTTTTTGAAAGCAAAATGAGAGCTGCTGACAATGATGTGAACATGTGTTGGCTGTTCAGTCTTGGGCTTTACACCTGGTTCTTCCACATGAGGGCTTCTGGCAAAGGGAGAGGTAGCTGTTGTCAGGCTAAAAAGGACATCTGAGTGGCAACAGGATTGGTGGGAATACTGCTCCAATTTCCACTTTTAAGATCTACCACTTAACACTCTTTGAGGTATACAACTGTGATTATGCCGCCCTTTGTGAAAGAGCAGGGAATGAAGGGCATATTCTCACAGCCTGGCGCGCGCGCGTGTGTGTTTGAAGAGCACTAGGAAAGGCGCAAGGTCAGTGAAAGAGATGAAGGCCCACCCACCTCCCCGAGACAGACTGACAGTGACTGCAGCAACGGCTCAAGTGTGTCACGAGATGATGAGGATGGCTCAGGATAGGACAGGGTTCAGGTGTGTTACTCATAGGGCCCTTTGAGTTGTACTTGACAACATCTAACTGCACCGTAACAGGAAGATTCTCATACACTGTCCCTGACGGTCCAGCAGGAAGTGTTATTTATTCTAAGTGTCCCCAAAATATATGCAGACCACTTCCAGGCTGTTTTCCTTATGCTTTCCTTCCTTACTAGAGAGCTCATTTGAAGAAATACACATACTGAGGCTGAGTGCTTACTCATACTGCCTGTTGACTGGGCTCCCACTGGTGGCCACTCTAGCATGGCCCTAGGTTTGGCAGCAAAGTGGAGGATTTGCAGTCCTGACCTTTGAGACATACTCCTTAGTGAAGTGATGGCCTATGTGCCTATGCAGACTCATTCTAGAGCTCAGGGACTCGTTACCTTCCTCTTTTGGGGGGCTCAGGGAAGACATTCTGGGTCTAGAGAGGAGGCACTGCCCTCACCTCACTTCAGCTAGCTGCTTCAAAGGGCTCTTGCTATGCACATGTCCTCACTGGCTTTTCTGCTGCACCAGACCCTTTGGAACATGATTTTAATCTTTTGGCTTCTGCAACACCATTCTCTCATCTGCTTACTTCCTGGGCAGGCACTCCTCTTACTCTTCTTTCTCTAGCCCAGACTGTTGGATGGGCTCCAGCCATGGATTTCCTTTCTGGAGGTATATGGATGATCACACCGTTCTTGGTCTGGAGCATAAAGTAACTGCTTTCTTTCTCAAGCCTGCCTGCAGTAGCATCCCCCTCACCCACCATCTCTGTCTCACTTCCACTACATCAACTGGACTTAACCATTATGTGTTTTTGGTGGATAATGTTCCTTTGAAAATTCATGTCTGCCTAGAGCCTTGAATATGGTATTTGGATATAATAATATTTGTAAATCTAAGTTAAGATAAGGTCATGTTGGATTAAGGTGGGCCCTAAATACATTAGCTGGTGTCAATGAGGAAAAGAATTGCAGACAGACACACACAGGGAACAAGGCCATGTTATGGTGAAGGCAGAGATGGGAGTGGTACAGCTATAGATGAGTAAACTGAGAAAACCATCAGAAGTTAAGCAGAAGTAGAAAAGATTCTCCCCCTGTCTTTAGAGGGAGCTTTGTCCTGTTTTTACCTTGCCTCAAGGCCACTAATATCTAAAATTGTGAAAGAATAAATTTCCTTTGTTGTAAGCCACTAAGCTTGGGATGCTTTGTTATAACATCTCTTGGAAATGAATACACTCCTAATCAAGGATTGGAGTATAAACATTATAACTTCCTAACCAAGCCATGGTATATTCAATCACCTCATATGCATGTGTTGATGCAACCTTGCTTGTGAAACGTGAAGAGGACTTGAAACACTTACTGGAGAAGGTCAGCCTTCAGTATGGATTACACCTCAATATTAAGAATACAAAAATCGTCCCAACTAGACTAATAGATAACGTCATGATAGATGGAGAAAAGAGCAAAGTTGTTAAGGACTTAATTCTACCTGGATCCCAAATCAACCTCCATGGTAACAGCAGTCAAGAAATCAAAACATATGCTACATTGGAAAAATCTCCCAAGGACATCCTGCTAAAGAGACCAGTTTAAAGACTAAGGTTTGCGTGTTTGAAGCCATGGGATTTTCAATTGTTTCTTATGCATCTGAAACTTGGACAATAAATAGGGAAGACCACAGAAGAACTAATGCCTTTGAATTCTGATTGATGAAGAGTACCGAATATCTCATGGAATACTAAAAGAACAAAGAATAGCTTCTAGGAAGAAGTATTACCAGTACTTCCTTAGAAGTGAGGATGTTGAGAGTTCATACTTTGGAGATGGTACAGGAGGGGCCATCGTTGGAGCAAGAGAACATGTTTGGTCAAGTAGAGTGTCGGCTAAAAAAGGTAGGACTCTCAGTAAGATGGGTTGACACACTCAGTGGCTGTACCAGTGGGCCACGCACAGCAGCATGATAAGGATGGTTTAGAACTGGGCTGTTTCTTCTTTGGTTGTACACAGGGCTGCCATGAGTTTGAGTTTATTCAATGGCATCGAACAACAGCAATGACTGCTCATTTAAAATCAAGTTTCACCTTTCTGATCTCACTTTATAATTTCCAGAAAGAAAGTATTGAAACATGGCACCACTCAATATTTCCAACACTCCCTACAGCAGGTCAAAACCCAGATTCCTGCCTGATGTAGCCGGGTGAAATGTGTTCCCATCTCCCTTCCCATTTACCATCATGCTTTCTGCTCTGCACCCATGCCTCCATCCATGCTTCAGAGCCAATCTCTTCTGCCTTCTAGCCTCTCTCTGTTTCTCTCTTACCTCCCAATTCTCTCTTCTTGGGTTAATATTCTTTCCTTTTCTTCTTCTGATGACACTTCATGTTTGGACTTTCCTCCAAGACCTAGCTCAAGTACCTCTTGCTCCATGAAGTTATTCTTTTTTTTTTTTTTTTTAAGTTATTCTTTATTCCCCTGCAAACTCTGACTCGCTCCCAGGACTCCTTTCCTCTAACTGCTAAGACACTCTAAATTATGAGAAGTTGTCTGGACATGTTTTATTTCTTCTCTGAGACATAAAAATTCCTTTGTTATCTTCACAGGACCAGTCTCCCAATTATTTGGCATTCAAGTGGGTTTTGCTGAACAATTAACAGTTTGAACATGGGTTGCTCTGATGATACTAACCACCACAGAGGGGGCATGTTAATTTTCCTGGGATTTGCTTTCATACTAAGCAGAGCATGCTATTGTCAGTTGTTATTTATTACATATAACACATATTATTATCTATGTCATTATATTTATTATTGTAGGTTATTGTTAGCTCTGCTTCATAGTAACCTTGTTATGTATAATAGAACTGTACATTGGCCATTCCTGGGTCATTCTCATAGATATTGGTATGCTTAAACCCATTACTGGAGCTATTGTGTCAATTTGCCTCTTTGAGGGTGGCCAAGTCTGGGGATATTTAAATCACCCGTGGTTTTCAGGGAGTGAAGCATCATAGAGCACCACTTCTTTCCTCCTAACTGGTCCTTAGGGGATGATGGTTGTTTTTCAAAGACAGCAGAAAGGAAAGCAAAGCAAGGAACATCTTATCCTTGCTGAAGAAAATAAGCTTGGAAGTTTTTCCTTTGGAATACCAAATTTCTCTGTATTACAGGAATACTTTTTCATACCAAATCCCACCCAAGCAAGCGTACCTTTCCAGGGTGGAACCGCCCACACTCAAGAGATGGAGATTAAACCCTTGGACACCTTTTGAGATGTGGGCTTATGCACAAGCTTTCCTGCCCATTTTATAGGAAGGAAGAGACCATGAGCTCTTACTGTCTAACGTGGAGGTGTTCCATGGTAGTTTAATGCAAAGCTATCATCCAAAGGACGTTGAGCTGTGTGGATGTTTCTACATGGACGCAGTGCCACAGCCTCAATGGGGATTTCTTGAAAAAGCCCTGTTTAGGTAGCTCTAAGGTAGTGACAGTTGATGACATGTTGGTATTTTATGTAAATGTAGATTTGGATAGGAAGTGATTTTTTCCCGGCATTTCTCCCTTTGGTTTATGCCTCTTCTTTTTATCCTGAACACACAAGATCAGATACCCAATAAGCAGGCAAGCATGGACTTAACTAATCTGTAATAAACAATTCTGAACAGGTAGAAAGTATGTGAAACTGTTCACTATCAATTAGGGAGTAAGCAGACACTGGCGCCATTATCTTGCCTATTGGGTAATCTGACGCTGTGCGCAGACCGTTCGATTTACCCAAACTGATGGTGAATGGAGCGTTGGGGAAGCAAACTTGGTCTTTATACCAAGGAAGATCTCACTTGAAATAGAAGTCTCACTAATGACAGTGTCCACACAGACCCCAGCAATTCTCATTTGGCTTGAGTACAAAACCAATATAGCCCACCCCACCAAAGAAGATAGGTAAAATATAATATAAAATAAACAAACAAAACCCCCTAACCCCCCCCCCCCAAACAGTATCTGCTTGCTAAACTGCAAACAAAACAAAAACACACCAAAAACTCAACATACACAAAAAGCCCCCAACCCCGACAAAATAAAACAGGACAACAAAACAATACCACAGGATCATAGGTTTAACTTCAAGTTTTCAGGGAAATGTTAGAACTTTCTGAGCAAATGAGGGCTAGGCATGCATGCAGAGTGTTGTCAGTTCCACCTCAAGAAAAGAAGATTGCAAACTTAGTAACATCCTCATGATGTAGAGTACTGAAGCAGCTTAGATTTTACTCAGGTCAAAGGTAGTATCTGGGTCACAGGTGTTAACAATTTCTAAAAGGTCCTTGATAGTTCAAGCATTAAATGGAGGTACCTCTGCTGTTTCCTGGTGACTCCCCGCTCTCTCACAAGGCCTTTCCCATACAGGACACCTTACCCCTCACCTGGCTAACACCAACCTGCCCTTCAGCTTTTTAACTCCTTCATAACTTCTTCACAGAAGCCTTTCCTCATCCTAACCCCACCTCTCCTGGGTGGATTGTATACTAGAACTTCATTCAGGTGGTATTCAGGTATGTCCCGGGGATTCCTGCTGTGCTAAGTATTAATCCTTTGTTGGCTTGTGAGGAGGAAGGAGGAGTCCCAGGAGATCACAGCTCTTTATCAACTATACTATGTGGATGTCTTTCAACACTAATGACTCCACAGTCCCTCTTCCCATCCCAGCATCTAAACGTGCTCTGCTCCAGGGCAGGTGCTCAGTGCAGACGTGTTGGTGGGGTGCCTTCCCCTCTGAGGTACCTTTAAGTGAATGATATGCCCCTTGGAGACAATGCCCATGTCTTTCAAGTCTTCTTCCTCCAGAAGCAGCAGCCGCTTTCCGGTAATATTGTTTTCCTTAAACAAGCTTGCGTACACAATCATTTCCTCAGAAGAATCACCTGAAGCACGTGATGAGAAGGCAGAAGAAAATCAGACCAAATCCTGTCCAAAGCAAAGCAAACCCCCAAAATTCAGAAGGTAAGGTGTTGCACTTGCCTTTTCTCACGAGCTGCTGGATCCAAAAGTACTGTGGGGGAGAGGACAGAAGAGTTTTGAAGACTTACACAGGGTCAGAGGCCAGGTTTAACAGTAAAGCTAGGTTTCAATAGATTTAAAGATTCTTAATCCCTACCTACCTCTATCTCAGAGGTAAAATGATTTTCTGCTTGCAGTTTCAAAACGTAAAAAGCTTCAAACAATAGGAATAGCTTTTTTTAGGGAGTTTTAGACAGTTGGGAGATTATTGGGCCTATATTCTTTATTATCAGAGATAAAAATTCTTTTAAAAGGTTTTTCCTTATTGTTATTTGCTCATTTATGTGAGGGTGGCTAATAGGAATGTGAGAGACATTTGTTGACCCACGAATGACAAGAGTAATAGGGACCACACTACAGTTGACAAGGGGAAGGACAGGATCCTCTGTTCTAGCCATGTGGCCCTCCCCAGAAACGAAACAAGTTGTCTTCTCATTGGTTTTCATTAACAGTGACCCCACATGTGACCGAGACAACTACACTTCTAAGTGTTTTCAAGGAAGACCAGCAGGCCCTTCTTGGAAGGCTCCTTGAGTGGGTTTGAAGCACCAACTTCTCTGTGAGGGAACAGGGTGTCCGTGTGGTTCCAGAGAAACAGACTACAGCTTCCTGTGAGAATGAGGAGGCTGCAGTCATGTTTTCTGAAGCCTTCCAAGACCTGACGGCCAAACAAGGCCTTTCTCCCTTCTCCCCAGCGGTGCCTAGGCCTTGAGTCTTGTTTTGCCCATGTTTACTAGCATCCACTCACATAGTAGGTAAAAGGAGAAAGAAGGGGGACCAGCTCCGGCCTCACACTTCTCTGGGGAACCTTCTACCCTGGAGTTTGATTAAGTGGCCTGGAAACCACTTAACCTCAGGGCAGAGACTAAAAATAGCTGTTGGAGCTTAGTGCTTTTTAAAAGAGGCTTCAATTGACAACGAGATGGTTTAATTTTACTGGGTGATAAAAGAATTACACGCAAGCCCTTGAATAGAGGGTAGCCTAGGTCCTCTTGCCTTGTAAAGTAGGGCTGGCAGGAAATTCAGAACCACTGGGGCTCAGGGAAGACAGCAAGGGAGAGGCAATTGGTGACCTGTTCCCTTGCCTTTCAGAAGTCAAAGAGGTTAGCTAGCACTGAAAGTTTTACTACCTAAGAATGCAAAGGGTGGGGAGGGAAATGCTCTGGCCCAGAAAAAGGCTGAACTAGGTAGACAGTACTTCCAAACAGTGCTGAAGAGACGACTTGTATCCGGGGACCCTGGGCCTGTGTGCTGGCATTGGAGCCAGGCCTGCATGGACTGGCAGTAAACCTTCCTCCCTCTGCCTTCTTGCTTATTTAATGACACCCTGCACCTACAAAATGGACCTGCACAGCCATAAGGTCCCATGGTTGTGGGTCAGGAATTTGTAAATCCATTTAGACACAGAAGAAACAAATTATGGACATGCAAAAGGCAAAATATACATGTAGAGTATCACTTGTTTATATCGTCTTAGAAATGTGGGCTTCTCTGAGTGATGACATGGTTCATGTACTTGATTGTTAACTGAAAGGTTGACTATGTTCAAATCCACTTGGGGCACGTCAGAAGGCAGGCCTGGTAATCTGGCCTACTCCGCTGAAAACCCTTTGGAGTTCTATTCTGACATACATGGTGCTGTCATGGGTCAGAGTGAATAGAAACCAAGGTGATTTTTTCTTAACACTGTAGCTGCTCACAAGGTCTGGGAACAGTGGGTACACTTTCTAGGGGAGGCCAGAATAAAGATGAACCTTCTAACTGACACTTTACAAATAGGCCTAAGGCAGGGAGGCAGTGTCTAGAGCAATGACAACTCAGCTTAGCACTGCCTCTACCATCTATTTCTCCATAGTGTTCAACTCTGCCCTGGCCTTTCAGGAAAGTCTAAGGCAGTCTAAATTTTAAACGTATGTTCATTTGGTATTCTGGGTCATATTCCGCCTTTTGAAATAGACATTCTTTCTGGTGAATGAAGTACTTACCAGAGGAAATGGGGAGCTGAGGTTTTCTTTTCTATTATTATAAACAGAAACATTTTTGACTTGACAGATTCTCCTAGTGTGATAGATTTTCCTGAGGGCCTAGCCCCTCCAGCTGCAGTTTTAAATTGTGTACAAATCTACGAAATCCCTGGCCGGGTCAAAGGTGGCATTAATGGAAGCAGCTTACCACGTCGTCTTCAGTCCATGCACTAATCTCAAAGGAAGGCAGCAGCTGCGTGGGAAATACGAATGAAATGAAAGAAGCTATTACCATTGTCTTTTTTTGTCTATCCCTTAAGATCATTTTTTTTAGCTCCCGACTCCTGCTCTGGCTTGATTCCTTCTGCAGGTTAGATTGAACAGAGGACGATCTCTGTGACCTTCAGCAGAATTCCTCAGTACATAGAAATTAGAACCATCTATGACCCCTCAAGTAATTTTCTGTTGGGGGAAGGCTCGGCTAGCACTTTGCCCACCTTGGCTTTTCTCTTCTTGGCACATGGTAGGGAGCATTCAGTGACTAGTCAATGTATCCTCAGCCCGAGAGCCAGTCAATCAATGCTGCAACCCATGATCATGCTGAAGCCTCCACCATCATTCCCCAGGGGACTGTGCCTGAGATGGACCACCTTGGATTGCACACACCGCTTACACAACCCACTTAGATGAAGTGGACTCTAGCATCTTAAAGTGATGGGAAGAAAGATGCATTGTGGATTTTCCCACCGTGATTGGGAGATACAAAACCCAGAAGTTGGCTTTCTCCCTTTCCTTCGACACTACTCTGTCCTGATAACTGAATGGCAGTATGAAGAAGGCATTTTTACATGCAAAAACGTTTATGAAGGTTTTAAATCTTCATTTCCCAGTGCCATTCTACTTTCACAAAGAGCTAATAACATTTACTATCCATTCAACTCCTATTATACCTGTCAGGCACTGGGATATAAACGTCCAGAGATTTATATTCTAATCAATTTGCAACCTTACTCTACATCACCCCATTTTATAGACAAGGAAGTAGGTAGACAGGGAGATTTTGTAATTTGCCTGGTCAACACCTAGCAAGTAGGAGACACTGGAATGAAAATCCAGATTGACTTGGCTTCCAAATCCATACCCCTCCCAGCATTGCCTGTTGCCTCTCAGCTGGGCTTCACATTTGAGGAAACCCACTGCTATGGATTCCAACTTATAGTGTCCCTACAAGACACTGAGCACTGCTCCCATACGGAGTCCAAGGGTGTAATCCTTTTGGAAGCAGACTGCTCCATCTTTATTCCGCACAACAGCTGATGGGACCAGGTACCTACCTAGCAGCCAAGCCCTGTAACCTCTGTGCAACTAGAGCTCCTCAGGTTTGTGGAGAGAGGCAACTTTTTAAAAAATCAGTTTTAAGCAATTATTTCATTTGTCTTTCTCTCTGGCTTAAAGTCAGATATGGTCATAGGTCTCAGAAGACAATCAGAACAAAATATCTGTAACAAATCTATTCTTATTGTGTGCGATCAAGTTGAAACTGACTCATAGCTGACCCTCCAGCAGGTTTTCAGACGCAGTTAATCACAGGAGGAGGGTGCCCATCCTTCTCCCACAGAGCAGCTGGTGAATTCGAACCTTATGCCTTCGGGATGGCAGTGGAGCTTTTTAGATATAAGAAAAATTGGACATATTTTAAGAGCTCCAAAGTGCTATCCCAACTAAATTCACTTTTGTCTTCATTGTATGTGTACTAATTTTTATTTTTAGTTATCTTAGCTGATTTTAGAAGATGATCTACACTTGTCTACACTGATAGTGTGGAGACTCATTTGCTGTATGCCGGGCTGTTGTGAGTCCGAGTAGAATCTTGGGCAACTAACAAGAGTGATTAAAGGTTCGCAAGCAAAAAGATCTCAAAACTCATCCAAAGTAGCTTCACATGTCCTAACAGTCACAGTCCTGGCAGCCAAGAGAGTCTGGCATTTATCAGATGCCAGAACCTCTCTTGGAATTCTCGGCCAACAGGAAGATCAGCTTCATCATTAGTGAAAATTCCACAGCTTGCACTCAGGAACTAGGTGACATATTATGCTTATAATAAGTCATCCAGTTGTTATAAGTTGGGAGGGATTTCTGTTTAGCTAAGTATCTCATTTGCACTGTGTTTTTAAAACCAGATGTTAGGACCTGTGGATGGAGGAGGACATGTGAAATTGGAGCTATCCTGAGGAACCAAATCAAACAGACTAAAACACGTCAGCAACCAAGAGCAGAAGTGTGACCGGCTAGGCGCGCAAGAGCATCGGTTGGCCTCATGTTCAGAGCCAACGAGCCACTCACTTCAGTATACAGCTCATGGCAACAGATAAATAATGCTGAATTAAATGAAAAAAAGTCTGGTACAGCCATTATCTTTATTTAATATATTGTTGTGATTTTGATGGAAGTTAGACACTTTTGCCAAACTGCTTGTACTGCTCATGAAGCAACTTGGAAGTGTCACTTCTGTTAAAAAGACTATTTTTTTTGTGGATGTGTTTTTAAAAAGTCCATTTCCTTTTACTATGATGTAAAAATCAGAGGGTGGGTGAGCTCATCCTCCTAATCTGCAGGTTTTATTTTACATGCACACGGTCAGAGGCCTCAGCAACTTTCCATTTCATCAGGCTGAAGCAGCTATAAATGCCACATGGGCAGCCCCAGGCATTCTCCCTCTTGGTTTACTCAATGCCTAGCAGAGTGCCTGGCATACAATAGCTGGTCTATTTTTGTCAAATGAACTGAAAGATACATTTACCAAAATGCTGAATTCTCAGGCATCGACTTTAAGGCCTGTGAGTATGCCACAGAAAAAAAATGATACACTGAAAGAAGGTTTCCTAGAGAAAGATGGGGAAATGGAAGGGGAAGTGGCTTGAGCTGGGCTCTGCAAGTCTGGGAAAAGACTAATGATTCCAGGAGAGGAGCTGAACTGACACTGCTGGGGGTGGGAGAGCAGGGAGAGGGGGACGTGGTATTGTTATCTCATCGGAGCACAAAATGCAGTGCAGTGCATGTTGCGGGGGAGGATGGGGAAGGTGATGTGAGGCAGAGTCTGGAGGATCCATAGTTTTTTTAAAAATTCATAGATTAAAAATAAATACGTGTACAATTTGAGCATTCTAGAAAAGCTGCAAGGGCATAAGTATATAGTTGGAGCTCTTACTATTCCATGTATGTTGTTGTTGTTATGTGCCATGAAGTAGGAACTGACTGTGCACTGTATAGAGAGATCCACAGATAAAGCACAGCCTCAGAGCTGTGTTGTATTATGCCTCGTGCTGTCCCCTCAGCCACCTGGTGCTTTATTTCCACAGGGCGGCGCTCTCCTCCTCAGAGACACTTGGTGTATGTAGAAATGGCCAAATCCACTCACCTGCTCTAGTAATGAGGGAAGAAAATGGATTGAGGAATAGAACCTAAAAACATGACAGATTTTATTCCTTTCCAGGGCAGCTGGGTACAGCCGCAGAGACACGTCATTCCCTCTCCTATCACAGAAATAAATGCGAAATAAGGAACTTTTTTTGATTAGCTCAAGTAACAACAGACTCGAGTTGCAAAAAAAAAAAAAATTTCCTCACATCAAGGCTGGCTTTTCTAGGGAGTGGGGTGGGTGGATGTGTAGTGCTTTGCATTTTATACAATTCCCAAATGTTGTGCTAAACAAAATTGAAAAATAAGTATTTCTTGAATAGAACGATGGTTGTGAGTGAAACAACTAATCAAGCCCTGCCTCTCTGGTTCTAACATCAACAGGAGTAGAGAGAGGAGGATGGTTAAGTGCTCTGTGGAAGTCTCATCAGTCGAAGCCAAGGAAAGGCTGGGGAGTGTGGGTGTGATATTCGCTCCAGCCACATTCTCTGCATAAGGCTTGGAAAGATCAGTGAGTGAGAGGGAGCTGGAGCCAGGTGCTGCTTCCAGACGGTTTGATTTGGCAAGATGGGGGACATGAGCTAAAGACCTCCAGGCACACAGCGGCTTACCATCTCCTTCCTGGCTTCTGTACTTTGTTAACCTATACGGGAAGTTCCAAGCCTTTCTTTGGGGAGTAAAAAAAAAAATCTAACTCATGACTGCCCCATCACTTTGTAAATGTATTATTTCCATTCCAACTGACTTCAGTAAAGAAAAAGCTAAAGCTTCTGTACATGCATGTGACAAGGATTCCTTCAAAGGGTGTTGGGAATCCAATCTAACCCAGATCTTAAATACACAGCAACACATAACAAAGGGGTTTACTGTCAAAACGTTTATTGCAAAATGGAGTCTTAGAACAAAGGTAAGCAAAGAAAAGTTCACATCAAAATGAAATGTATGACACCAACTTGGATTTCTGAATACACGGCAGACTCTGCTGGAATATCAAATTCCAATGCTGTAGTCAGTAATTGCATTTTCTTACCACATAAGAGTTAATGTTAAATCTTCCATACAAACATTATACAAGATACTTGGCATAGGACTTGCTGAGAATAACATTGCAAAAGAATAACTGAGAAAAGAGTTTTGTTCAAAATAAAAACAGTAAGGTGATAATGCCATCTATTCCAAGCTCACACTCCAAAGAATATAAATATTTTCTATTTAGTACAAAATTTTTAAAGAGTGCAAAAGCAGCATGTGCAGTGTATCCTACGCAATAGTAAAAGATATACGCCTCTGCATACGATATAAAATAACACAGGTGCTTGAAACTCTAGTTTTGAAGTAAATAACCCCCTGCCAGAAAGCTCCTCAGAGGCAAGACAGGGCAGACTAAGTTATAATCTGAGGAAATGTGTTTCGTCCTCCACATTTCCCTGGTAGACTCATTTCTCATCATGGAAAATGTGGCATCTACAACTTTCAAGCTGCACTACAGTCAAAAGAATAGGATAGACTGTTCTCTATGGCAATACTGAAAATCTAAAGAAACAAAAATCAGTCTTATTAAAAGCAGCAAAAGGTGCCTGATTATAGAAAAAGTATGCTCTCTTCATTACGTGGTATGGTGCTGGTTCAAAAAGGCTGCCACTTAAGCACTTATGTACTGGCTGGGAAATCAGGAAAATTACTCTTATTTGTTGTTGTTGATCGCCTTCGAGCTGAGCATGACTCATAGCGACCCCATGAACAAAAGGCCTGAAGCCCCTCTACAGCTATCAGCATTTATCAAAGAGTTTCCGGAGGCATATTATTTAGGAAATGGATGCCACTGTATACCATACA